GTTCCGCGAATGTGGTATAGACATGTTTATAATCAACCAATTGTGAATTCCACCGTCAAAAATTAAAATAACACCCAATGTTTTATATAATAAGCGGAAGTCTAAGCAATAAAAATCTCTAGACTAGACGACTATCGGTTTTGTTTACAGTTTCTCTGTTTGACTCTCACGTATGCTACGTTACGCTTGTCGTCTTAAATTAAGAATGCTTATACATAAACGATTTTCAGTTGCCTCTCCTAGTACACGCCGGCGCCGTATACGTGAGTAAATTGTTTTGTTATTTTATTGATTATTACAAGTCAATATTCAAAACGACCCAAGTCATTTTCCCGAAAATTTGGGAATACAATAATTTTATTCTTGGTATTACACTACATCTATCCCAACTGATATACGTGTCCTTGCAAAAATGTTGATGAAGTCATCGCAATTTTTTTTTTTAAATTCCCACTACAAAAATGTAATGAGAAAAAAAACACAATAGGCATGCAGTCGTCAAGTTTCCGACAGCGAGGGAAGTACTGTCTAAACTCTTTAGACCAATTTTTTCGATAGTAGTCTAGGCATGCATGTAAAAACAGCCATTTACTTGACGTTTCTAAAACTTGATTACTCGTTCGATTACAGGATTTTATTAATCGAAATTCGTCAATATGCCCTAGCACACAGTTAAAGAAAAAGTGTAAATAATCACTGTATACATTAACGGCTTATCGATAAAAGAAATTGAGTAAACGCACAATGAAGAAATTGTATGCTGGATTTACAGAACGTCTCGATTGTGGACATTACAAAGACAATTTCAGTAAAATCATCCTTTATTTTCTTCATTTATGTTTGAATTCGATCATTCTGTTACTAAAAACTCCAATAAAGGTATTTAACTTGTAAATTAAAATTACGTTGTAAAAAATTTTAAGTCAAAATGATAGTCAAAACCTTCTATGAAGCATTTAAACTTTATAACTAAAATAATTTTTACGTTTTAAAACACAAATTAACAATGTCCTGCAAAAAGTGCTAGGGAAATTAAATTAAAACCATAAGGCTACTGTAATATTCAAAGGCTTTTTTTAATATTGTTCTGTTTACACTGTGGCACTGCAGAAAAGGGAGGATCACAGAAACGCCGGTTTGAATGACACCTTTATTCAAGCACTACTTAACCCACATTCCCTGTACAATTACCGTTTTACTTCCCGAGCGTAAGCAAAGGAAGTATTGCAATCGGGTCCGTCGGTCGACTCTCTACTTTTACGTTTTCTCGACTTTTCATGACCCCTAGAGTAAGAAGAAATAGGTTTCCCGTTTCCGTCTGTCTGTCGTATCGGAGTTATATTAAACAGATAATCTCCGAAAGTACTGGATCGATTATTGTGAAATTTTGTATTTATATTAGGAATATCATATAGATGGTAAAACGCTAACCAAAATTTGTCTAACCATCCCCACCACCAATGTGATGACATCACTTCAAAATTATACATAGTAAATGGGTTTTAAATTGTATAAGAAAACATAGTCCTACACATGTCAAGAGGACCCGGGTGGGTTAGGTAGCTTTGTGCTTGTCTGCTACACCTTGGGTCGTGGATTCGATTCCCGTCCGGCTCTGGGTGTTGTGTATGTCCCCCGTTCCCCTGTAATTGGTCCACCGGCCTGTAGGGGAACGTAATCAAATAAATAAAAAATTGGTCTAAAGAGTTTAGACAGTACTTCCCTCGCTGTCGTAAACGTGACGACTGCATGTTTATTAGGTTTTTTTTCGCAGTAGATTTCATTACTTTTTTTGAGTCACCCGGTATATGCAAACTCAAAAAATATGAATGGAATGATAAATTACAAGTACAGACTCATCATATTTTGTATATTCTAGATAGGATTTACTCGGCAAACTTTTGAGCTGACGTCATCAGTTTTTTGTAGAAGATAACCAAATATATTTTGACTAAAAATTTATTATGCTCTTTATAACCTTAAAACATTTGCAAGATTTCAAGACATTCGGTTCTGGAGTTCCTGATTATATCAATAAAATACATTTACCCATCCATTAATTTTTTTGGGTCACCCTGTATATGCAAATCCAAAAACTATAAATGGAATGTAAACCACAAGAAAAGACTCATCATATTTTGTACATTTTAGATAGGATTTATTTAGCAAAATTTTGTGGTGACGTCATAAATTTTTTAGGGGGAATGAGCAAATACATTTTGATCAAAAACTTACCATGCTTATGATAACTTTGAAACACCTTCAAGATTTCAAAGCATTCGGTTTTGTAGTTCCTGAGTAAATCAGTAAAATAAATTTACGCATTCATTAATTTTTTTGAGTCACCCTGTATATGCAAATCCAAAAAATATGAATGGAGTGATATATTACAAGCACAGACTCATCATATTTTGTACATTTTACATAGGATTTATTTGGCAAACTTTTGAGCTGACGTCATCAAGTTTTTGGAGGAGATAACCAAATATATTTTGAGTAAAGATTTATGATGCTCTTTATAGCCTTAAAACATCTGCAACATTTCAAAACATTCGGATTAGCAGATTCAAAATCAAATTGCAAAATGTTGTTTTATAATTTTGATTTTTTTTACAAAAATCTGGACGTTTCGGGTAAAAACTCAATTCGGAGTCGTAAACTACATGTATAGGACTATGTTATTTTATACAATTTAAAACCCATTTACTATATACAATTTTGAAGTGACGTCATCGCATTAGTGGTGGGGATGATTAGACAAATTTTGGTTAGCGTTTTACCATCTACATGATATTCCTAATATAAGTACAAAATTTCACAACAATCGGTCCAGTACTTTCGAAGATTATCTGTCTAATAAAAATCCGGGACTGCAGACAGACGGACAGACGGACAGACGGACGGAAATGGGAGACCTATTTCAATACTTTCTTTGCTTACGCTTGAGAAGTAAAAATACATTCAATAAAAATTTAATGAGTGCTGCTTATAAAAATTACATGTTACACATCGAAAGTCAACTAAATACTGACCCAAAAAAATTTGGACCTTCATTAATAGCAGAAAAGGTCACTCAAAAATTCCTGGTTTAATGAAATATAATGATGCGGAACTAAATACGCCAGACTCTATTATTGAAGGCTTCGGTAAATATTTTAATGACATCTATAAGATCCCCAATTCAAACTCCACTTTACTTAACGTCAATATTAACTCGTCGGTCTTCGTAAATATTACCCATATGTCCAAAAATGACATATTTCTCGCTTTAAAAAATTGCAAAAATTCCCTAACTTGGGTCATGATGTTTTCTCTTAAGAGATTGTGCCTGTATCTTTGTCAAACTTTGCTATAGAATATTCAACTTAATTCTAAAATGCTCCATTTTTCCGGATATATGGGAAAAAGCAATCATTTGTCCAGTGTTCAAAAAGGGCGATGTAACTGACATCATTAACTATCGACCTATATCTCTCTTATGTAATTTCTCGAAAGTTATTGAATCAGTTATATATAAGTACATATATGCCTCAATAAGAAACGTGTTATCACCCTACCAACATGGATTTATGCAAAAACGTTCTACAACTTCAAATCTAGCCTGCTTTACTCAATATGTTTCCGCGGCGATAGATGATTTAAAACAAGTTGACGTCATTTATCTCGACTTCAAGAAAGCATTTGATCAAATCGATCATTTCATATTGATTGATAAACTCAGACGGTTTGGTTTCTCAGATACTCTTATACAGCTATTTCGTTCGTACCTTTTCAAGCGTGAGCAATATGTAAAATATCATAACTATCAATCCGATATCATCAGGCCTACTTCTGGAGTACCGCAAGGGTCCAATTTAGGACCGTTGCTTTTCCTATTGTTCATTGATGATACAGGGTTTTCATAAATGATTATAGGGTCGCAGTAGGTTATGGATGTGTGCCGCCTTTCGCTTTATGTGTACTTTACTAAATGTGTCCTTGGGCACGACAAGCACCACATGCATCTGTATAACTGGTTGCCTAAATGCTTCATGATTAAATATCGAAAACGCATGCGTCAATACACATGTGACTAACATAACAAGGCGATGCTGGCGATAACAAGTGAAATTTTTGGTTGGGTGTTGATATACACACGCACAAATTCCAATAACTAAATCATCCACGGAAAAAGAAGTTCCACGTTTAGGAGTATATTTGTAATGAAGTGCAGGAGGCGAAGCGCCCGTGTGTCCTTTCAAAAAGTTAGCACGCGTTGGTGACCATAAAAAGTTAGGTTATGTTAGCAACGGCTGCAATGCTGCAATTAAAGAATGCACGGATGCGAAATTTAACAAATTTTTGTGGCAAAAGGAAGCATTTGCATAACATTTGAAGATGAGGAACGTGATCAAAAGATGCTGTAGAAGAGCTTTGCACAAACAGTTTGTGCGAAATCGAGAAGCGCGTGTTCTGCGCGATGTTACGGAGTTAGATAAGCGCAAATGTAGTTCATTTTCAAACTGTTTTTCAGAAGTTGAAGGCGCATTGATGACCAGTGGGACCAAGGGCCTTTGGTGGTTAAATATGTCTTTATATACATGGACACCAGATGCATGTGCTTAGAAAGATGATTTTTGATTAAGAACTCAGAGTAAGAGTATCTTTAATGGTGTATACAAATTTGACAAACAACGCATTTTAATGTCTGATAACTACATTTCCTATCCATCAGTTCTACTTCATGAAAGTTAGTTTTGGTTTGTGAGTCAATTAAATGTTTTACAGCAGATTCTTTAGCTACATTATCAAAACTTGTCTGGGTGGCAAGTTTATGGGACTTACTGACCAAAAGGTCATGGTGAATAGCTGTAAGTCATAAAGTAGATGAAATTCTTGACCAAGATGTATCCTTCAGTAGTTTCTTCAAAGTATCTAAATATGTTTCCAGCCCTCTATTGGTTTACCACCAAAATATTTGTATTTCAAAGATATGTGCAAAGATTTGGCGTGCATGTTGATGTTAATGCCTGCGTTCTTTTGATAACACTGGGCCCATGACTTCATGCGCTCTTTATTTTGAAAGTAGTAAGTGTTTAAATAATTCACAAATTTACTTTTTACCAAAAATTTAATCAGCTCTTGCTTCAGTCTTATAAATTTATTTTCATCTGTTTCTTTTAATACATAATCTAATTTTGTAAGAATCTGATTTATTGTCCCAGGCATTCCAATATGTAGCTGTAACTATCATCTGTCATGAAATAATTGGGTACCAAAACCGATATTAATGATTTTATTTCACCAACCAGAACCTCTTATATGTTGGTGTCCTTTCAGTTGGACAGAATAAATGTTACTGGATAATCAATATTTTTATCATCTAACACATGGACTTGTGGTCAATTCAATGTCATAGAGGTTTGTCCCATGTGTGCCATCAACACAAATGATTTTGGCGCCATATTTTTTTAACATATACTCCAGCCCACTGTACATGGAAGCTAATGCAGTCATTTTTGTGCAATTTTTCATGTTCTGATGCACAACAAGATTTTCCTTACTTCATTTACCAGATATATTATTTTTTCTGCAATGTGGGGAATGTCTTTCATAGTCAGAAGATTAAATCTGGTACATGAACTGAGTTCTAGATTTTTAACAGTTTCAATTATTTTTTCGTGTGTTAAACCAGTGCGAATTTGTTCAACTAGATATGTCGTTTCTTTTGTAGTCAGGGGTTGACAGCGAAGATCATTGTGATGAACAACATGAATAGCAATAAACTGAACAAGTACCACTGAGGAAGAATGATCAAAGTGAGCTGTAATTCGTGAAGGACAGACTCCTTGCATTTTGATACTGCCACTAGTTTTAGGAGCTCGTATATTACATTTACTAACAGAATTTGCTAGATTACTTCTGACATTCATAGTAGAAAATAATAATTCGTCATATAAAAGAATTAGTTTTTAACTCTAAATCTGCTTTTCGTGTAAAAAAAATCTTCCGTTTTCTTAAATTGTAGATCCTTTACTTCCAACTCAATGTTATAAGCGATGTTGAAATGATTCGTTAATAAGTGAAAACGCTGAAAGTTTTCAAAGCATAGCGGACAAATTATTCTGCTAGTTTTTAATATTTTTGAAATTGTCGCCGTGAAAATATCTTAGATGTCGATTTGTACTTGAAATGATTTCACACAATAAGCACATTTTGTTAACACTTCAAACTTTTGGATGCTCATACTGAAATATGTTTTGTCATGTCTAGTGCTTGTTTTTACTTAATAAAATAATAGAACTTTATCTGTCCATTGTCCTTTTCATAAAAATTACACGAAATTCTTTAATTAGCCACAAAACAATAGTATATTACAAAATTAATATTTCACTTCCCGCCACAAAAGTACATATTCAACGAAAATGTATAAACGTAAAAGATAAAAATCCAAATATAACTTTGACTGCTGGGTAGCTTCTAAACCCTCATCGTAGAGTCATATAAAATCAAGGACCACCAGATGGGTGAACGGACACGGATAATAATAATAATCAGAGTTTTTACGGTTTGAGATTTCATTCAGTTCTATCAAAAATTTTATTGTACATAATAAATAGGTATTTAGAACGTAGTGTGATTTCATTTTAAGTATCAAGCTTCAAAATATACTTTCGTTGCTAATTTTAAAGACTAGTTTTTGATTTTTGTTGTTTTTTTTTGTGTACAGATTCGTTTCAATGCAAAATTAGGTCACCCACATAGAATTTGAACATTTGAAATTACGCGGGCGTAATTTGTTACCCTCATGCGCGGAACTCCAACATTCTTGATAGTCAATTTGTTGTTAAAAATAAAAATAATTCATAATGGAATAAACAAACAAATTTATTGTGGTTAAACATCACAGTAAATGTTGAAAATGTTCACCATTTAGTTCAAGGCACATATTCACTCTCTTTTTCTTACTTTCAAAAATGTTCTGTAACATCCTTCCATCAATGCTTTGAACCCATCGTTCAATTTCACATTGCAACTCTGCCAAGTTATTAATTTGCCGTTGAAACACTTTGTCTTTCAAATATCCAAATATTGAAAAGTCCAATGGCGTAAGATCTGGGGAACGTGATGGAAATGCATGCTGCACTCCTAAACTTATTACACGATCGTCATAATGTTGTTGTAAATATTCCAATGTAGCACGTGCAGTGTGTGCAGTCGCGCCGTCCTGTTGAAAGTACCCTAACTGCAGCTCTTCGTCATCAAGTTGTTGAATAAATGGTTCCCAAATCTGTTGCCTATACCTCTCTCCAGTCATAGTATCATGAAAGAAAATAGGCCATATATTCGTCTACGAGAAACTGCCAACCATATTCCAATTTTTAAAGGATGAAGAGGCGTCTCTACAAAAACATGTGGATTTTCCGCGGACCAAATTCTAAAATTTTGCGAATTGACATAGCCAGATAAATGAAACCATGCTTCATCACTAAAAAATGTAAGATCCAGTAACCCGTCATCATGAAAAGTATTCTGAAACCAATTGCAATATTCTACGCGGCGTGGAGGATCTATTGGTAAAAGTTGTTGCACAGTAGTTATTTTGTAAGGATGCATATGCAATCGTTTTTTCACTACTTTGTGACATGTGGTTACGGGAACTCCTGACTGTTGAGATAATCTTGTCAAAGATGTTTGGGGATTCTGCTCAAGTCTTTCTCTCAAATCATCAACAACTTCCTCAGATACTGCAAGTCTCCCAGAGGATTTCCCTTTGTTGACATTGCCAGTGCGAACAAATCTGTTGATGACATCTCTAATGTGAGCCTCTAATGATGTTTCTTGAATTTCCAGGGTAATTGGCCAGATATTCTTGCTTACAAGCGGCTACAGAATACAGCCACGCTCCGTCTACGAATGTCCCATTGCGATAATAAGACATAACGATGAAAGTGTTTTGCTCAACCGAATAAACCATTTTCACGGTCTTCGCTTCGAGCACAAAGTTTTCGCACGCAAGCACCAAGAGCCTTGAGAAAGGCTATTTTGTTTTTCTAAAGTTGGATCAACGAGAATTACTGTAAATCACACTTGGAAAGTGGTAGAACAATAAAAGCGATGATTTTAAGTGACAGGTTACAAATGACAAGCACAATGACAAGTGAGAACTGTCAAATGAGACAATTTCAGCAAAGCGGCATTTTTGAAATCCATGGCCAACTACGCCCTTAGAATCATTTATGAAAGCCCTGTATAACAAATGCTTCATCATGAGAAAAACTTCTCTTCGCTGATGATATCAAATTAGTTCTAAAAATTGATTCTTACAATGATTGTGAAATTTTAGAACAAAACATAGCAAACGTTATGAATTGGTGTTCAAATAATGGTTTATTTCTAAATAATGATAAATGCTTTATTGTCACTTATTCAAGGAAACATGAAAACATAATCTTTCCTTATAAAATAGCTGATGTAATTATAAATCGAACGGACACTATCAAAGATCTTGGAATACTGATTGATTCCAAACTTTATTTTGTTAATCACATTAATGATATGGTAACTAAAGGATATCGTATATACGGATTCCTATATAGAAACTGTCGAGACTTTCAAATACAGACACTTTGTACTTTATTTTATTCTTTAGTAAGATCAAGGCTCGAATATGGTGCAATAATCTGGTTTCCTATATATCAAATCCATATTCGTAATATTGAATCAGTTCAGCGATCATTTCTAAAATTTGTTTCTTTCCTATTAGATGGCACTTACCCAGAGAGAGGCTGTGATCACACATTATTGCTCAATAGGTTTAATTTCATTTCCCTTAATACTAGACGCATAATGCTTATCATCAAATTTGTGGTACAAATTGCCAATAATAAGATTGATTGTCCTTCGATTCTTGAACAGTAAAACTTTTTGGTCCCTAGAACTAGCTCTAGACAACATAATGTGTTCTATTGTGCCTCTAATAGAACTAACATTTTAAAGCGGTCCCCAGTAGCGTTAATGTGCGACTTATTTAATAATATCATTATATTACAATCCTTGTCAATTTGATTATAATATTGGTAATAGTATTCTTCAGCGAACTACAAATATAAAATATCTTGGTGTGCATTATGACTCGAAATTTTCTTTTAAAGAACATGTCACTAACATTGTAGGTAAGGCTGGTAAGATGTTTGGGTTTATTGTTCGAAATTGTAAAGGTTTTAATAACGTGTTACCCTTAATTCAACTTTTTAATTCACTGGTGAGATCTAGGCTAGAATATTGTTCCACGGCTTGGTTCCCATATTATAATTATCAGATAGGGTTGCTAGAGAACGTTCAAAGGAAATTTTTAAAGTATTTATATTTCAAGGATGAAGGAGTGTGGCCAGTTAGAAATTACCCACATGCAGTATTATTAGAGCGATACAAACTTAATATATTGCAGTGCAGAAGAGTTGTCAGCGCACTTATTTTCTTGCATAAACTTCTGAATTATAAAATTGATTGTGGTGAGCTTCTTTCTGGCCTAAAATTTTATGTGCCGAGATTAAATAATCGATATTCAGTAACGCTTTATTCCAGTACACCACGCAAAAATATTGGTAGAAAAGCTCCACTATATGTGATCAGCATGTATACGAACAAACTGGAGAGAAATAGCGATTGTGATATATTCAGCTGCTCCACCAAAAAACTGAAAACTGCAATCTGTGACAAGCTAAATTTATGAAAGGTGTGACTGTCAATTTATGCTTATGTTAAATGTAATTGTGATAGGAAAAATTTGGGAATATTTGCCAATTATTAGTTAGACTAAAATTGTGTTATGTTTTGATGAAATTGTCCTGTAACTGGAACATATTCTGTAGGGCAATTAAATATTTATTTATTTATTGCTAGCTGACCCGGTGAACTTCGTTTCACCTACAATTTAATTTTGAATCTGCAAAACCGAATGCTTTGAAAACTTGCAGATGTTTTAAACATATGATAAGCATAATAAATTTTTATTCAAAATATACATATTTACTTATCCTCTCCAAAAAATTGTACATAGTAAATCGGTTTTAAATTGTATAAAATAACATAGTGTTTTTCGACTCCGAATTGAGTTTCTACCCGAAACGTCCAGATTTTTGGAAAAAAATCAAAATTATAAAACAACATTTTGAAATTTAATTTTGAATCTGCTAACCTGAATGTTTTGAAATGTTGCAGATGTTTTAAGGCTATAAAGAGCATCATAAATCTTTAGTCAAAATATATTTGGTTATCCCCTCCAAAAACTTGATGACGTCAGTTCAAAAGATTGCCGAATAAATCCTATCTAGAATGTGCAAAATATGATGAGTATGTACTTGTGATATATCACTCCATTAATATTTTTTGGATTTGCACATACAGGGTGACTCAAAAGAAATAATGAATGAGTAAATGTATTTTACTGATTTACTCAGGAATTACAAAACCGAATGCTTTGAAATCTTAAAGATGTTTTAAAATTATCATAAGCATGGTAAATTTTTTATCAAAATGTATTTGGTCGTCCCCCCTAAAAAAATTTATGACGTCACCACAAAATTTTGTTGAATAAATTCTACCTAAAATGTACAAAATATGGTGAGTTTCTTCTTGTGATTTATCATTCCATTCAAATTTTTTCGTGTTCCATATACAGGGTGACTCAAAAAAATTAATGAATGCGTGAATTTATTTTATTGAGTTAATCAGGAACAACAAAACCAAATGCTTTGAAATCTTGCAGATGTTTTAAGGTTATAAAGAGCATAATAAATGTTTAGTCAAAATATATTTGCTTATCCCCTCAAAAAAATTGATGACGTCAGCTCGAAAGTTTGCCGAATAAATCCTATCTAAACTGTACAAAATATGATGAGTCTGTACTTGTTATTTATCACTCCATTCATATTTTTGGGATTTGTATAAACAGGGTGACTCAAAAAAAAATTAATGAATGCGTAAATTTATTTTATTGATTTACTCAGGAACTACAAAACCGAATGCTTTGAAA